GTGGTACAATTATTAGAGATAGGTTGATAATATTTAAGATTGAAACATTAATTAATGCTCTAAATAAATATCAATGGTACTGAGAGTAGCTGTACATAATGTCACGTCTGTAAAACGATTGTGGTTATTATTGAGCTGATTGGTGGTGTCGTTGGGAAAATGTCTTTATGTTGCAGAAAGACAGGGGTACAAGACCAGGCTTTTCATTTTAAGATGTGAGGTAACCATCTTGAACACATCATATTGAACACAATGTATTTCTTTCATTTTTTTAAATGATCAATATGACATATGGGCAATTTATCAATGTATTCCTTTAACAAATTGGAGCTTTAGTAGCACGTGGAAGAGCCATACACAGCCACAACAGCCTGGCACCTCCTCCTAATGCTTCCTTTCACCAGCTTGGTCACATGCTGCTGTGGGATGGCATCTGTCGTGTTGTGTTTTGTTGTGAAAAGACAAAAGTGCTCAAAGTATAAGTGTTCAAAATTTATTATTAAATAGTTGTTATTTCAAGTTAATTCTACGATTCCTAAAAAGACCTTTTCTGTCGTTCAAGGAATCCTAGAGACAAATGATGCCGCACCCAAATAGTAAACAGTTTATTATGTGCCATAAAAACTCAATACCAATGTGCTTGGTCAGAAAGTCGAGAGAAGACCGTGGCTTTAGACTTGGCTCCTCCTATTTGTCTTGGATTTTTCCCTCAGGTCATATTACGCCCTGTATGGCGTGAACTTTTCACTGTAATATTAAGGCAACTCTTCCCACTTCACCATGGCAACCATCTCTTGTCCTCTGGTCAGACCTGAGAGAGAGGACTTATATAGGATTTATGGAGGATTTATAGAACACTGGAATAGCAATTGCTGGTAATGTTAATGTTCAGCAATAGTCTGGCAGGATCAACAAGACAATTATGTTGCTATAATGTGCAAAACCAGAGTTACAAATGATTAAGGTATAAAGAAATATTACAAGATCTGACCTAATAAATCAGCTGATGATTAACAGAACTGATATTCATTCCCTGTAGCAAAGGCCATCTGTGGTAAAATGCACAAATTCAAGTAATTTATTTTCTAAGAATTGAAGTTCACTTCTTTAATATATAAGTACAGGATTGCAATCTTTAGCTCTAAAGAAAAAAATCAAATCAGGATTTCTAAATTCGTTAAAAACTAATAAGGCACCATTTAAACGTTGCTGATAGATTTCAGTGACAGGGATATTGCTTGAACCAAGGTCCATTGTCACAGTCCTACATTTTGACCCTCCAACATTTACATGCTGTTCTATTGCAATGCATTAAAACAGCAGAAGCCAACATGGGGCTAAGAAATTCACAGTTGCAGGAACCCAAAGTGGAATTATTTCAAAATTAAAAAAAACTGAGGAAAAAATCTGAAAACGCTTTCAGTTCATCCTATTTTGTATATTGACACTTCTTAGAACAATTACACATCACACTCTGATGTTTTTTGTTTTGGGTTTAGTGTCATTAAATCCAGCATTTTAATTTATGTGCATGTTTTCAGTTTCTGTTACTAATATTCTAAGCTTTAAAATAATCTATTAGACTTGCAAGGTTAGATTGCCCCCCCTAGTGTCTAGTCCGAGTCTCAGTCACATTTCCCACCTCAGCACAGTCATGCAGCTCATGTACTTTGGAGGCAGGGCTGGACTGGGACAAAAAATCGGCCCGGGCATTTTGACTAGAGACCGGCCCACCAAA